CGCTAACCCCCTTTACAAATCCAGGATCCGCCATGCAGGGTGGGGTTTTATACACCATACACAACTTGATCTGTCAGAAAATATGACGTGAGAATTTGCCTATAAGTCGGCCTAAAGTAGGCCAAAGTGGGCCTATAGGTTAAACCATTCGGACTTATGCATTTTTTTCATACAAAACATTGGGTTTATTTAACAAAAAATATTGCCTATTTCGCAATACTATTGCATTATTTCGCAATAAGTATTGCGTTTATTTCGCAATACTATTGCGTTATTTTCGCAATAATATTGCGTTATTTCGCAATAAGTATTGCGTTATTTGCAATAATTATTGCGTTATTTCGCAATAAGTATTGCGTTATTTCGCAATAAGTATTGTGCTATTTCGCAATAATTATTGCGTTATTTTGCAATACTATTGCTTTGTTTCGCAATACTATTGCGTTATTTCGCAATACTGGTATTTTGCAATTAGTATTGCGTTATTTTGCAATTAGTATTGCGTTATTTTGCAATAAGTATTGCGTTATTTCTCAAAACTATTGCCTTATTTCGCAATAACTATTGCCTTGTTTGCAATAAGTATTGCGTTATTTTGCAATAAGTATTGCGTTATTTCGCAATAAGAAAATGCGTTATTTCGCAATAGTATTGCGTTATTTCGCAATAGTATTGGGTTATTTTGCAAAAGTATTGCGTAATTTCGCAAGAAGTATTGCGTTATTTCGCAATACTATTGCGTTATTTCGCAAAACATTTATTGGGTTATTTCGCAATAGTATTGGGTTATTTTAATAGTATTGGGTTATTTTGCAAAAACTATTGCGTTATTTTGCAAAACTATTGCGTTATTTTGCAATAAAAATATGTTTTCACTTTTAAAATGGCACGACCGGGGCTTCCGTATTTTTTTTTTTTTGAAATTTTTTGTTGTTGATTTTTTCCCCTAGCTTTCGTCAGCGGCGCCCTTCCCCTGGGTAGTCTGGTTCCCCGACCCAAACGATTCTGACTATTCCTGATGAATCTATAGGGTGCACACCGGTAAAAGGCCTAAATCCGTCTCATGAATAAAGTTATACCTCAAAATATTCCATATTAGAGAGTTCTGATAAAATTGGGGAATTGAAGAGATATGGTAATGAACCTCTGGCCCGGACTTGAGCTTCAAATTCTGAGCATTTTGGATGCTATTGGGCTCGAAAGTGGCGCTATTTTGCATGTTGTGGAGGATCGTTTTCAAGATGGCTACTTTTCGCTTTGGGGAAAATAGGGGTCGTCTTCTTTGGTTGAGAAAAGGAAAGATGACATGTTTGGTCATCATTTTTCTGTGCAGTTTGACTACCTGTGAGAGTTCTGAGTATTTGTAAAAGAATTTTGAAGTATGAATTTTGAGCATTAGTACTAGGTCTATGTGAATTTATTTGCAGGGTTTGTATCTTTAAGATTCTGATACTCAGGGGAAGGGCGCCGCTCACAGCAGGTATGTAAAAAAAAATTCACAAAAAAAAACCCCAAAACCCCAAACTTTCTAAAAAAAACCACAAAAACATTGCACACACAAAAAAAAACCGTTCCAAAGAAAACAACAAAACTTTCCAAAAAAAAACCAACATACATACGGAAGCGTAGAAGGGCCAAAAAGAAATTAAGAAAAGTTAGTTCCTATCTCGCCGCGGCGAATTACTATCTCGCCGCGGCAATTATTATCTCGCCGCCGCGAATTACTTTCTCGCCGCGACGAGTTACCATTTCGCTGCGGCGAGTTACTATCTCGCTCAATGACTTACTATCTCGCCGCGGCGACTTACTATTTTGCATCGGCGAGCGTCAGGCACGACGAATAGCGATACTCCTTGGGTCCTATGGAAACGCCAAAGAGGCATTTAATGTGATCAACGAATCGGCGATGCACTTTATCGATAGGCAGTGGGGTTTTGCAATCGATGATTGACTTTCACAATCGGTGATGGATTTTTGCGAGTGGTGATGGAATTTTTGCGATCTTTGTTCAACATTGGCAAAACTAACACCCTAATCACCCATACAGGGCTGGATTCTATAATAACTCCGATAGTACGTCCGATAAATGAAATAATTTATGTAATAATAAAGTTGTCCCTTTCTGTTTGTTAAGAATAAATTAAGAAAGAAAACGAAGTTCAGTGGGGCGGCAACAGGTGATTTTATAATTGCATCTCTCAGAGGGCAGAAAAGTAATTACTGTAATGTTCCGCCTTGCGATTGTTACGACCGATTTTGAATGAAACAAGCTCAAATTACCGTTACACAGACATTTTGATGCTCGCGGGCTAAAATCTTTTAACATCAATTTCTCCCGTTTTGAAGGCCGTATCTCAGAGACACTTTGGAGTTTCTTTCCCTATCATGATCCTACTATTCAGTATTTTTCATTACAATAGAAAAATAGGCTTTGAGTTCGTCATTTTGCAATATGTTTAGGCGTCATGAATATTAATAAGGTTCTATCCATATGGAATGGTTTACGACTCCTCCTTCACGAGTTCTCTACCAATACAATATTAACTTGTTTGGTTGGTTTCCATTGGTCTATACAGAGGCCCACGCGAAGTCACGCAGAGTCACGCTAATGGACCGATCCAGTAAGCACCGCCCCATAGTGTTCTGACCAATCACAGCCGTGATTTATGTCCGACGTGCGTGCACAAATGTCCGACATGCGTGCACGCGCGTATGAAGCGCGCGGCAGGAAAATGCAGTGGGCATTGGAGAGGGGCACGTGTTAATTTGCCCAGTGCGCAGTGGGCGGGGCTTACTGGATCGGTCCATTAATATGCTATAACGCGCATGTCATATATACGTCAAACGTTGCGGCAAAACCGGCCACTGACCATGCTTTTTTTTGCTCGGCAAAATCCGAGCTTGACCTCGGTGATAGGAGATGTAACACAAGCGTCTGCAACATATTAAGCTTAAATTCGGAATATTTTAAGTGTTCAACTACTCGTGAATTAACAACTTGTGAGGATTCCTAGAAAAAAAGATTGGGGAATTACCTTTAGAACGATTTCCCCACGTGCGCCTTTTAGGTCAGCTTAATCGGTGACCAGTATTGACGTTTCTGCATCGTGAAAGTTCATCAACGATTGCAAAGTTCATCACCAATCGCGAAAATCCATGACCGATTGCGATATTCAACACCGATTTCAAAAGTCTATCACGCCCCCGCCCCATAAAAAGTTCGCACGCCCAGTCGCCCCCCCCCCACTGAAAATTTGGCATCCGTAGAAAAACACCTCAATATGAGTTTACCATGACTACCTGGAAGAATATAGGCCTAAGCCAATTTTTTTTCCGGCGATTTTCTGCGATTTTTTTTCGCGAGTGGCTGTTTATTACGGTCCCTTGGAAATTGAATATTGGTAGTTTGTTATCCCGCGAGCGCAAGTGGAACACGGATTAATGTGGTGTATCTATAGTGACCCGGCCGAGTGGTATGTGGGGACAATAGACTAGGGCGGGTATCGGGCGGATATCCGGTAGAAGGAACCCTGGTCTCACGGCCTTTCAGCTCGGAGTTGGGGCGCCCCTCCATTGTAACCTCAAGCCCCCCCCCTCCAAGTCACCTAGGATGAAAACCCTGGCTACGCCGATGCCTCTTTGGCGTTCCATAGGACCCGGAGGGATCGCCATTGTTGTGCCCGACGCTCATCGATACAAAATAGTAACTAAATAGTAACTATCCATGACCGATTTGCGATATTTCAACACCGATTTCAAAAGTCTATCACGCCCCGCCCATAAAAAGTTCGCACGCCCAGTCGCCCCCCCCCCCCACTGAAAATTTGGCATCCGTAGAAAAACACCTCAATATGAGTTACCATGACTACCTGCCCTAAGTCGCTATCTCGCCGCGGCGAGTCGCTATCTCGCCGCGGCGAGATAGCGACTCGCCGCGGCGAGAGGAAAGCGACCGCCGCGGCGGACGAGATCGCGACTCGCCGGCGAGATCGCGACTCGCCGCGGCGAGATCGCGACTCGCCGCGGCGAGATCGCGACACTCGCCGCGGGCGAGATCGCGACTCGCCGCGGCGAGATCGCGACCCGCGGCGAGATCGCGACTCGCCGCGGCGAGATCGCGACTCGCCGCGGCGAGATCGCGACTCGCCGCGGCGAGATCGCGACTCGCCGCGGCGAGATCGCGACTCGCCGCGGCGAGATCGCGACTCGCCGCGGCGAGATCGCGACTCGCCGCGGCGAGGATCGCGACTCGCCGCGGCGAGATCGCGACTCGCCGCGGCGAGATCGCGACTCGCCGCGGCGAGATCGCGACTCGCCGCGGCGAGATCGCGACTCGCCGCGGCGAGATCGCGACTCGCCGCGGCGAGATCGCGACTCGCCGCGGCGAGATCGCGACTCGCCGCGGCGAGGATCGCGACTCGCCGCGGCGAGATCGCGACTCGCCGCGGCGAGATCGCGACTCGCCGCGGCGAGATCGCGACTCGCCGCGGCGAGATCGCGACTCGCCGCGGCGAGATCGCGACTCGCCGCGGCGAGATCGAGACTCGCCGCGGCGAGATAGGAGCTTTTTTTTTTTAATTTCTTTGGCCCTTCTACTCTTCCGTAGAATTGGCCAATGACGCGCTCCAATTTGATCGTGATTATTTATGAGGT